AGGCTCCTTATGGGGTCAGACACCTTGTGAGTGCTAAGAAAACAAATCAAATGGGTATAATTATAATATAAGTCACAAACCCTCCGGGGCTCAGCTCCTGCTACTTCATCAGTGTTGTTAAGGAGGTTCTGCATAGCTCAAGTGCCTAGGGAGCTCATCCTAAATGTCTGTTACTTGAATGAAGGTTCATGTAATGTATCCTGCTTGTAAGCTTGTTTGACATTCCATCTTCTTCCTTCACAAGAGGCTCCCAAAGGAGTTAAAACCCCTCAGCAGCTTCCGCAGGAGTCAAATGTGGCTGCAGATGGCAGTAAGTGATGGACAATAAGCATGAACAGCAACCTGACCCATGCTTGTGCTCGCTAAGCGCAACCCTGCAAGGTGCTGAGGGCCAAGGGGGTGGAATTAAGGAGATGAAAGAGGCTCTTTACAGATGGCATCTTGGCTTGATGTTTTTCTTCACTCATTTCAACACAAATTCAGATGGTCCCCTGCATCCTGGGAATTTAAAGACATGAAGCCTATTAAGACGCCGTCTATCATCTGCATGCAGCTGTATATCTGTAGACAGAGGTACTTACAACTTGTCTGCCTCAAGTCAGATGTGAGCCATGTTGCATGAGCCTCATATTAGCCATATTAAAAAACTACTGGCTTCCCCCTACAAGTTCTTGACGTGTAAAACTTCCATTGATCTCCAAGGGAGCACTTGCAGGTTTGACCTTAAGTTGTCAAAGTTGAACTAACTTGTAGCTTCTGCTTCTCGCTGTTGACACACAAAGCAAAAAGTAAGCAATGCACTGCTTAGGCATATAACTCCTAGCTTGGACAAAAAAGTTATGTTGGGCTCCAGTATGCCAGACCCTCTGCTGTTTTAACTTGCTGTCAGGCTTTGCCAAGATATCCCACCTTAACACCAGCTGCAGCGTTGACCATAACGGATGTGAATGGCTCTCGTTTAAAATATGGAAACATTTTCTTGTATCATCATAACTAATGCAGAACTTTGCTTTTTCAGAGAAGATAAAACCCAGCAAATCTGGTGAGTTCAAAAAGTGTTTACTCCACATACCTTTCACTGTTTTCTGTTTAATGCTAAGTTGGAGATGGTGGCTGACACCATCCTACTAAGCAATGGTTCAGCAATAGTTGAGGAGGCACCTATGGGCTCCTGGAGAAAGGCGTGACTTTGTCTCGCTTTGTTCCCACCCCTCCCCATCACAAGACAGTGTGGGAAAATGGGTTGCCAACACAGACTGAACTCCATACTTCTCATGAAGTAGTGTCTAGTGCAGCGGTTCCCATCCTGTGGCTTGCAGATAACGCATCTGTGAAACTCTCGGAGGTGGCATTGTGCCCACAGGAGACCTTCCCCTGCACAATTAGGTGTTTCCTCAGGCTGACAAGCAGGGCAAGGTGGGACATTTTTCTCAGCACTGTGGTCCATGGCCCAGTGAAGTTTGGATAACTAGCTCAGGCTCTAGTGCTTGAGCTAAAGGACTATGTTCTCGCTGGCACTCATAGCAGATTTATAAGCTCCTTACAGACACCAGGCAGTAGAGGCAACCCAACACCCCCAGCTTAATCCAGCTCCATCCAAGATGCAACCCCTTCCCCTCAGACCTGAACCCATATTGCCTGGTCACATAGGGCCTGTTTCCAAAGAGCGAGTTACACTTTTCACCCCAGTTTCCTCCGTGGATGTGGAGCGTAGCGTGATTCACAGGTGCTGTACACCCTGCCATGGCATGACTCATGTCTCCTTATATACTTTTCAAGAAGAAGGGAGCTAAGAATATAAAGGGGGAACTGGGGGACGGAGTTAAACTTAGTCATGCAACTTGACACATTACACATCTATCACACGTCCAGGTCTGGCAAAGGTCAGTAATGGTCTCCATGGAATAAGTGAGTGAGGTATCTGCACCCAAAGTCCCTATCACGACTGGCCCTGTGGGCAGACTCAACAGAGGCCAAAGAATGAAAGAAGCAGAAGAGTGAACTTTATTTTCTCATTCATACGGCCGGCTAAAAAAATGATGGCATTTGGCAAGGCTTTCTGTATCCACGCTGTGCTTAGCTCTCTTCCTTGTAGGCTTTTTAATATAGCCACTGGAGTCTACCCCTGGCTCAAAGGGGTGATTAAGTTAGGATTCATAGAGTGACTTGTAGAATATAATTCAATTTAAGAAGATCATATGAGCTCTGTATTTCCTCCAGTTTAAATTGCATCATTGCTCTCTCTATTCTCTCACATCAGTACCAAACCTGGCAAGTCCAGACCCTGACACATCTATCGAAAGCTTCCTAAAGAAATCTAGAGAGGAGCTTCTGCACTGTAAGTAACTTGTCCAGTCACACAAGTCTTAAAAACCGACGACTTCTTTCATTGCGCTGGGATTATGTGATTGAATGTTTTCCATGCTGTTGCATAATTATGGCCTTATTAATATTACAGCAATGGTCCGTTAAGAGGTATACATTTTCAGGAAAAAAGGAAAAACCTTCTAGGGCATTGGATACATTCCCCAAAAAGTTCACCACTAGCATAAATGGAGCACACGGTTAAACTGAGATCCAGTGCCAGTGGCAGACTTGGATCGCTGCTCTAAGTGAGCTTGTTGGGGAAGGTAACGACTTGGTTGAAATTCACAGAAAGCTAAGCGGGTTTAGGAGCCAGACTCACTTTTGAGAATGAGACTGAGTTGCCATTGGAAACTACTTACTTCTGGTTTCAGAAGTCTGTTGTATGGACACTGGCAGAAGTCTAGGAGACCTGCCTGCAAGTTACTGGATGCGTCTATACGTTCATTAAGGTGACATAGTTACTGCGCATTAAGTTTAGCACTTGGATAACCAAGTACTAAATCAAAGTGCAGTAACTCGCACTACTGCGCAGTAGTGCTGGCACACGGGTTTTTAGTGACGCTAATTGTGCAGTAGCCTAATACTACCATGCAGTAGTGTATTAGCACAGTTTTTGCCCAACATGCTATTGCACAGCGTTGTTAGGCTGTGGCACAGTTAGCATAGGACTTGCCACAGTGAAGGAAGCTTCTGATCTATCGAATCCAGAATCTTGCTCTCAACACTGATGAGCATTAGCAACTCCTCAGGACGTTATAAGAAAAGTCACAGTAGGAAGAGCTAAATACAGCAGAGGAAACCTTTATACATACAACAGTATAGAAAGGTTTTCTTTATGTATGTGTGGACATACACAGATACGCATGCACACACGTCTATATAAAGTATCTAAATGTTATGTACAACTATATAACCACTATATATACGAGAGAGAGAGAGAGAAAAGAAGAACTGGGGCCTTTCTGAATAAACCAATATAGCTCCTAATATCTTTTCTTTATAATCTCTTGTATTCCTCCACAGATGCTACAAAAGTCACGCTGGATTTCAACACGGCTCATAACAAAGTGCTTTTATTAGAGAAAAACACGAAAATATCTGTCTCTGAAACCCCCCAGAATTATAGCTCACACCCTCAACGCTTCTCGTACTGTTCCCAAGTGCTGGGCTTCCAGTGTTTCAAGAGGGGCATCTATTACTGGGAAGTGGAACTGCAGCGTAACAACTTCTGTGGCATCGGCATCTGCTACGGGAGCATGGACAGGCAAGGGGCAGACAGCCGCCTGGGGAGAAATCGCAGCTCCTGGTGCATTGAGTGGTTTAATGCAAAAATTTCAGCCTGGCATAATGATAATGAAAAAAGCCTGCCCAACACCAAGGCTACCAAGATAGGTGTGCTGCTCAACTGGGATGCAGGCTTTGTGCTTTTCCTGGCTGTTGGTGAGAAAGTTAACTTAATCTACAAATTCAAAGCAGAGTTTACTGAAGCGCTGTATCCTGCTTTCTGGGTGTTTTCCAGTGGCACTACACTCTCAATTTGCCCACTGAAGTAACAGCGTGCTGTGCCCCGGAGCTGTTTCTTCATGGTGTAGCCTGCAACCCATCTATGTTGCAAAGCTTTCTTTCTGTGCTTATAACTTTCTCATGTATTCAAATGATGGGGTATTATCTTTTTCGCTTGCTGGGTGGCTTAATGATTATCCAAAACCATCTCGCAATTCTGTGAGGCAGAAACTGGGTAGAGACTCTAGACCTGCAGGCTGGACTTAGTGCATTAGTTTGACATTTATGCACCAGAAAGGGAGGGAAGCTTCTGCTTGTCTGTAAATGTAAAAGAATAAGAGTATGCTTCAGGGTGGGTGCTTCCTTGCTTAAAACTAATTTCAGGTCCCTGGTCTTTAAAGCAATTGCCTAAATACTTTGGGGCAAGGGAAAACTGCATGCTTTTGTCTTTGCTGTGATAAGGGGAAAGATGGCTTCTAACACACACACACACACACACACACGGTCTCAGACCAAGCAGTGCCAATGTTTGGTCCCCTGTTTGGGTGAGGGTTCATAGCCTGCAGTTTGGTACTTGGCCTCCTGCCCCTCCAGACTGAATTTCTAAATCTTTTAAGCAAAATAGACACAGTGCTGCAGTCAGTGAACATCTTTGAAGTGTTTCCTCACTGTTGGTGCATAACAAAGGCTGTTGCAACAACACTGCTCAAAGGATCCTGACTCTTTTTTCAAGGAAATGATAATTGTAAAAGATAATTTCAAGGAATGATGATTGTAAGGCATGTCATCAAATAGCCTTGTCATGGCCAAACCCTGGTGTCAGCGAAAGACTCTGGTGGGAGTTGGATTCTATCCCAAATGTGTTGCATGGCTAATGTTAAACCCTCGGCTTTATCGGGAGAGAGGCGATAAGAATTCAGCCTGGAAACCCACCAACTTGCTCTGCATTTCCTTCATCCTGTCTCTAGACTTTAGCGGAAGAATTTTTACCGTTAGCTTTCCTGTTGCTTGGATGGTTGTCTATAAGCAAGAGATCAGCTTCACATGGGAAGTGTGGACTTCAGAAACGACATAAGTCTGTGAGAGGCAGGATTTGAATGACTTCTGCGCGTGGTTAGTTGTAGACACTTGTAGATCGGGTCTGAACTGAGTCAGAAATACAAAAGTTTATCTCTGAATGGTAAAAAGCCAATATGATAACCTATAAAAACCTGACCAACTTGAAAAAGAAACCGAGAACCACATGTGAAAGCTTAGCATCTCTAGGAAGAAAATGTGCAGAAATTCCTCTGGATTACCTAGGGTGAAGAAGTTATGCAAGTGATTTTTTTCAAAGAAAGTTTTGATGGGATGAAACAGCACATAGTTTTAGCACTTTCCAGGGTTTAAAGCGCTCAGAATGGAGATCAGTTCCTGAAGTACGTAGCTCCTGAAGTAGAGAGATGGAGGTGCTTTTTAACATCACAGTTTAATTAAAACCCTACTGAAAGGAACGAAACTTGGAAAAAAACTCATGTCTGGTTTGCCTAGCTGGCATGCCTCTTGGAATGAAGCACTGTGGTTGATGGTGCATTTTCCATCAGCACACCATGACATTGAAATTTTGTATTATTTTACGTGTTGGGGAGCTATGGGTAGGAGTAGAGAGGACCTGTGTAGTAGCATTGCTCATAGCAGGGGCTGTCCTAAGTTTCTCTTTTCTTGAAACACAGCATTCCCTGAATACCAAGATTTTTATGTGCCTCTGGCCATGATACTAAGATCGCTGCGTGACTTCCAAAAACCTAAGCACTGCCTTAGTGCACACTTCGAAGCATCTTTTGAAGTGACATTTCCTCTTTGCCTTTATATCTGCGCATAGATTAGTGAATCTTCTGAGCTAGAAATGTGCAGGAAAGGGAAAGGTGGGAGAATAGGTTTTTCATTCTCATCATGCCACAACTTCACTTTGCTTTTTGTGGTATCATAGAATAGCAGCTGGTCTGACTCCATTCAGCATGATGTGATGCTTGGGAGACCTTTGCTGCTTTTCATACCTAAAAACCTGGAGCTGGGAAAACAGCCAGTGGACACAGCTGTAGGCCTGAGACCTAAATGTCTTGTGCCTGTAACTAGGAGTCAGCCAGAGGCTTGTCTTGCTGAATCTCCTTGCGGAGGCCAGCAGTTGCTGAGATGAATGGCTCAAACTTTGTTGACTGGTAAAGCTCTCCCCTGTGGAACTTTGTATGCTCTGTGAATTATAATGCAAAGCCACTGCAGACATTGCAAGCATATGTTTCATAGATTTCATAGACGTTAGGGCTGGAAGGGACCATGCAATGTTCATGGAGGGTGAATTTCCTGAAGGTTCACTGGACTCCCGGTGGCAGCATTTTACATGAGCTGAAGTTCCTGGAGAGCCTTAGACAATGCAAAGCACTGCAGCAGCTCAGACTTGATTTCTAACAGTGAGTAAACTGCCAAGTCAGAGTTCAGAGATGAAGCAAGTCAAAAGATACAGTGAGATTATTTTGGACCAAAGGGATTTAGTTAGATGCCGTGCTGCACTCATAGTGTTCTCCATGCATTGCAGAGCGTTTGCTGGAATACCTATGATATCAAAGTATGCAATAGGCCAGCACCGTTTCCGAAATGTGTTCAGCCCTAAAGATCCCCGTGATTCAGTTCAGCACTGAAATAGCCAAGAGATCAGGAAGAATGATGCTGAGCTGGTCAGAAAGACGGGAACTGGTTGTCACTGCACAACATGTCAGAAGCAGGAACAAAAACAGCACAAACGTGAACACAATCAAAGAATGAGGAAACGGAAAGGCATAGCTGGATAAAAACAGAAGCCAGTTAATCAACTAGATAACAACCGAGCTTTACTGTGGTGTCCAGCATGACTACCCAGAAGGAAAAAGTTGCAGTGATGGCACCGTGGAGGGTTGAGTGGACCATTCAGCCCACGCAATAGGGAGAATCACTGGAGAATAGGAGTGACTCTCTTGCAAGTGCTGGATTCCTGCACTTTTCCAATGAGGTGAGTTCAACATCGCCATCCCAGTATTCAGGACTTCTAGGGTGAGTTCTGTCTAATGCTCGATGATCTTAGGACATTCCCTATAAGAAAGGGGCAACAGATATTACTTATAGAATCATAGAAGTCGGGTCGGAAGGGACCTTGTAGATCTTCAAGTCCGACCCCCTGCCTGGGCAGGAGGAAAACTGGGCTCAAGTGACCCCAGCCAGGTAGGCATCGAGCTGCTTCTTGAAGACCCCCAGGGTAGGAGCCAGCACCACTTCCCTTGGAAGTTGGTTCTAGATCCTAGCCGCCCTGACTGTGAAGTAGTTCCTACGGATGTCTGATCTAAACCTACTCTCCAACAACTTGTGGCCGTTATTCCTTGTTATCCCGGGGGGCGCTGGGGGAAACAGCGTCTCCCCCAAACCCTTCTGGTCCCCCCTAGTGAGTTTATAGATGGTCACCAGGTCCCCTCTGAGCCTTCTCTTGTGGAGGCTGAACAGGTTCAGGTCCCGTAGCCTCTCATTGTAGGGTCTGCCCTGCTGTCCCCAGATCATGCGGGTAGCCCTCCTCTGGACCCTCTCAATGTTGTCCACATCCCTCTTGAAGTGGGGCGCCCAGAACTGGACACAGTACTCCAGCTGTGGACTTGAAAATGTCCTCCTCTGTATTCATGGTAGGTACATTCAGGTCTGTGTTCCCCCCTGGCTTTGGGGATCCTAGGATCTCTGTCATCTTGTGCGGGGTTTGTATGGGACCTATGTATTCCTGGTGAAGCAGATTTGAGGTTCTGTGGATTTTTGTCCCGCATCTGTGTGATTCCAGATTTTCACCCAGGCAGAGGGGTGCTCTGTCAGAGGCTTACCTGGTTTTGGGGCCCTTTGGGTTCTCTTTCCTCGAAGGAAACCAACTAAGTCTTCAGATGTGCTGAAACGTTTAAAGTGCTCCTCGAGGATGTTCCCTCCAAGGGACCCTTCCTGCATCGTAGGTGCCTGGCTGCTCTCCCAGCCTGTCTGTCCACCTTGCAGTGCACCAGAGCATTGAAGAGCAGGTCTGGAGCACTTCTATCAGCTCCCTAAAAAGATGGAGCTGCATTTTAGCAACACATGCATCCCTGAGCTGCCCAGAGCTGTCAGCTCTGGGGGTCCAGCTCCTATGGGGCTTGGTCTGTCGGAGATCCAAAGAATTAGAACCACTTGCTCCTTTCACCACGGCGTGTCTGTACCGCAGGTGTCTATCGGCTGCTTTATCCACAGTCGACAGCAATATTCAAATGAAGGGGGGATTGCTCCATATGTATTATGTCACCGTTTGACAAGCTGAGGGTCCAAAGTGTTGCACTGTTCAGTGTGAAACACACTGCTTGGATTAGCGGTGACAATGAAACAAATGTACTGGTGACTTGTTTTCAGGCTAGGTGCACATGGTAATGCCAGACCCATGGCAAAGAGCTGTTCCTTTTGATTCAGATGAGAAACACTTGACTTGCATTGGCGAGCATCAGTATTTGTCAGCTCTGGGTTACGGTACATTAATGTTTCCCTTGAAATATGTGGGAGACATTCAACCTTTTATTATGAAGAAAAATACCCAAAACCTGAGTTAAAGGATTAGCTGCGACATAATAAACACTTTTCAATGCAGTTCCAAGAGAATGCAACTACAATCTTTTATAGCAAGGATTTTTTCCTTTCCCATAATGGTATAAGAACAATCAGTTTTAATGTCAGAGGTAGAAATAAGCATACATGGGCTTACTGCTCTGCATACGCAGGTCTTTTAAATCATTTAGTCTTCCGGAAAGGAGGCTGAAAAGGAATTCTGGGGCTAACAGAGCCTGGAGGATAGCGGCAGGAATGGCATCGTGCACCGTATGTAAAAGAGCGGGGAATGCTTGCAACCTCAAAACACTCAAAGCCATCTTTCTGCTACCTCACTGCAAAAACCTTGCATGTAGAAACAATGTTATCTGCTCCAGAAATCACAAACATTGTTGAATGCATCATTGCTTCATTGCCTATAGAGCATCATTGCCTATAGGGGACTAATAGTCTCATAATCAGGATTGTGTTATGCATAAGTTAACACTTCCCCTGCCTCATGATGCTTCAAGGGGGCATGGACATCTGCAGTTTGTCCTGTCAGGGAAGGTGGTGGCAGTAGGTTGTGGGTTTCTGTACTATCCCCTGCCTCCAAATGATGTCAAAGTTCGCTTTTTGATGTAGCTAGTGTCATTTAATTTTTCTGTTGATTATCAAGTTAATGAGTTACCAGCCGTGATTTCAATAAAAAATTAATGGCAAACAACTTGTTTAAATAATGTGTTCAATGATGTAAACCAGTGGTGCATAGCCTTTTTGCTCCATGGGCCAGATGGGCAGTATCTGTCCGATGGGCCTGATCCAGTAGGCACTGCCTGGGCCTGACCTGGGGGAAGGGGACATGGCCCAGCCCTGATCGGGCTGTACAGGGCTTGGGAATGTGGCAGCAGGGGAGGAATAGCATTCTTAATTGCTACTGCTCTTCCACTACCAAATTTCCTGACCCATGGGGAGTCCCATGGGCTGGATGCTGTGGCCCTACAGGCCAGGGATCAAACACTCCTGATCTAAACAAAAGTTGTCTCCTTCCTTACAGGCGGGGAGGGGGAAAGCAAAAGTAAAGAAGGACTACGTAATTCAGAAACACATGGTACACATGGCTCAGCATTCACTGGATGAGTGGAGGCTGTGGGGATGGAGGGGAGAACAGCATCTCATAGCCTAAGCAGTCCTACAGTGCTTCCTCGAGGTCATTTCTCATCTAGCACTGAATGTATCCGTACTCTGAATGCCTGAACACTAACTATCCACCGACACACAACCATGCCACATCCCCAGTCAGGAAGAGAGTAGAGAACATCCTACCCAATGAAGCTGCCGGGGGACTTAGTGAGGACTGAAATCAGTTGACACTACTGGGACTTTTCTCCACCTGTGTAAAAAGCAGCAGGGAATTGCTAATGACTAGGTGTGGGGAAGACTTTGGTTTTACATACGAGGTAGCACCCCAGCAGCATCGCCTGCTGATATTACATTGAACACTTGAACTGCAACAAGGTCAGAAAGGGAGATTCTGGAGCGAGTGCTTTGAGTCCCACCTAGAGGTAAAAGCTGTATGGGACTGACCTGGGTCTAGTGTCCCACATCGGTGTTCCCTTTCCAGCACTGCACCTCTTTGGTTTGTCACTGAAAAAGTCAAGGAAGTAAAGGTTTTTTCCCCCTGCCATCCTGTAGGCCTAAAATAAAGGAAAGAGGAAAATAAGTGAAAGTTTATATCTGTTGGTTTGATTTTCTCACCAAAATAAAAAATTCTGTTCTACTCAGGTCTTGTCCTGCCCTCATCCCAACACATCAGAGCACCTTCTAGCAGTTCATCCTGTCTCACATTATAAAGTCTCTCCTCCTGGGAAGCACTGTGGGCATGCATGGGAACATCATGGCTTTGGTAGGGGGTCTGGTTTGCAGTGTTGGCAGTGCTCTGTGTTGGGGACCGCAGGCGGATGTGATGTGCCTCACACTGGCTGCTAGAGGCGATGAGACTCGGGGATGGTTCACACATGCACAGCACGTTTGAAAATCTGTCGCGGTCTTGGTATTTTACACTTTAAAAAACCTTTAAGAAACCAAAGGGGTTAACACAAGAGCAGGGGCTGAGCCACGGTCCTGCTGTGCGTGGTAAGATGCCAGTATGCCCTCCTGTCCGAGTGCGCAGTGTCATCCTCAGCCCCAAAAGTCTCTCTCAGGTGTGGGTTTATAACATACGCTCTAGGTGGCAGGCACCTTTGTTTCACAGACATTTCACAACTCTTTTTTTTCAGAGAGACAGTCTGCTTGTTTGCAGACGACGCGATGAAGAAGGCCAGTTCAGTGTATGCTTTAAAAAGATGTGCATGCGCAGACCTTTGCAGGGCAAGGACTGCAAACCTGAACCTGGGGGGACAGAGCAAAAGTAGCAGTCTTATAATATGCTCATTACCCAGATGCACGTAATGTTGGGGATGAGAGTCTAGAAGAGGTGAACTGACTCATGCCATTTTCACTCCATTGGCTTCAGTAGATTAGTATTTTGTACCAGATCAGCTCTCTAATGACATCCTACAGACACGTGCATGGAAGCCTCTATAAGAAGATACGTTGCCAAATATTATTCCCCTTCCTGACATGAAATCATTTTTAGCCTTCCCAGAGCTGAAAGCATTCACCGCTTGCCTCTCCTCTCCTCCCCCCACTCCCTTGGCCCCCTTCCTGCCTTCGATTGAGTGGCTGCTACTTCTCAAATAATCAATATGTCAGTTAAAAACATGTCACGGTGTGGTCATTGTATGACTCCTATTCAAAGTCCATGTCATTTAGACTTTCATTGGCAGCTATTTTGTCCCATTAAAAAGTTCAAGACAGCAATTTGTGAATCTTGCTCAGCCAAGTAGAACTGTGAAAAAAGGAGTTATTTTAAAAGTCAATTAATTGTGGTCTATCGGAGCCCTCCTCATTCACATTTTTTCAAGCCTTGTCACGGGCTCACATCTGTCAGCCCTGTGTTTCCCAGGCTGCTATCAGATGCCGTTACATTGTAAATAATGGGTTTATTCAGGCCCTTTATTGGACTTTGTGTGGTAGACACATTTGTATATCATTTTACGGTGTAACAATTCCATTTACATAAAATATAGGCAATTATGTGAGCGAGGCCAGAGTGCCGGGGGAGGGAGGGAGGAGCCCCCATTAAAATAATAAAAGCTAATTGAAAAGAGGCAGATAATTTAGGTGAAAAATCCAATGCGAGCGATTCTTGATCCCAAAATGATTCAAGAGAACTTTAGGGAGCAGACTTGTGTTTGTGCATTTCATTCATTGGAAATGGCTCATATTTTTAAATAGCTGTGCCACAATTTCCGTCTCAGGTCTTTTTTTTTCAATTTAATCAAATTGTTTTTCATGGAGGAAGAGGACTTGCTCCCAGGCAACAGTCATGCTTCAGGACGTGGACATAGCCAGTAGCCACACTGTGCTGCTTTTTATGGGCCTGATCCTGTAGAGCGTTGCATGCTCCAATGACGGAGAGGATTAGATGCACAAAGCACTGTATATGGAAGGCAAAAACAGGAAGATTTAGATAGGATTATCTTGACAGTAGCTGAATGGACTGGAAATGTCTGGAACAGGTTGCAAGATTTTGTGAGGAATGGCACAATATCTGCAAAATAGCCTCCCCCTGTAAATGCATGCCGTCACATGACAGCTGATTTTCAGGCACCTGAAATGCCTGATCTTGAAATTGTGGCAGAGCATAACAATTTTGCTGTAATTGTTCAAAGAACCTTGTCTACCAATTTTGCTGTAATTATTCATACTTAACACAAGGTAACCATCATGCTATACGGTGCAATAACAACGCTCATGCAATCTAATCAGGAGCAGTGCTGCTCCTCGCGGGCATCGTGTTCATCTCAGGTGGTTGCCCAAAAGAATTAGCAAGGTTTTACTTGCTCAGAAGTGAAGGCAATTGCTTGAAGTATCAGTGCCACCACATTCTTTATTAATCCTATAGGATAAAAGTCACCCCGTTTTATTTTAAAGAAATGTTAAGAGTCCTTTACAAGATGCAGTGAGGGCAAGTATGTGTGCCTGCATCGCCAGATGCACAAAATTAGCAAATCTCACTCTTATCTATTTACTTCTTGCTGTCAAGCTCACCACTCATAACTTGTCCAGTCGGAGAAATGTCTGAAAGATGTCTAGTCCTTGCGCGTTTAACTGCTTTGTTCAAATCCTGTGTAGGATCAGCTTCTTGTTTACAGACTGGCAGAATGAGGTGAGGAAAGGAATGGATTCGAATCAGGTCTCCTCAGTACGGCTCTTATGGTCTATGCACTGGATTATGATCCTTTCTCATTACCAGTATTAAACTAGCTGAAAAAAGACAGGTCTAAAACTTATTAATAGGCATGCTTGATAGCATCAGGGGGCTTCTTACTGGTGTTACACATAACGTGCATTAATGTGCCATAATTATGACACATTTAAGTTTAGTATTTGTAATGACAGGTACTAACTTAATGCACCGTACTCGGCGCTACTGGGCATTAGCGCAAACGAATGGTCTTTATGTGATGGTAATGCATAGTAGACAATCTACTGCTCATTAGCATGGGTTTTGCCCACTGCACTAATGCGCAGTGGAATGAGTCTACTGCACTCTAAACCTCCCGTGTAGACTCACCCATAGCATACAAATAGATCCAATATCCTCTTTCTGCTGCCACCGAAATATGGTCTGAAAATACAATGCTCGATTACTGAATGGTTTGATTAAAAAATAGAATCAGAGAAAGGGAGTGCATGAGGTGCCTAGTACTGCAGATACTAATTCAGAGAACCCAAGGAAAGGACCCCCAACTACTTTCAGAGATTAAAGGGTGAAGGGTTTACCTCAATGGTTGAGGTGCTAGCAGCAGCAGTACACACACATGCAGGCCCAGATCCAAATAGACCTTGCAGGCACCTAAACAGGACCAACGTAGAATTTAAGCACCTAGCTTGCAAAGAGCAGAACAAATAAGAGCGCATAGTCAGCAGTCGCAAAACAGCTTAGATGCCTCAACTGAATAGGCACTTCCATTTAGGCCTGAGAAGGTCCCTAGGTGCCTAGGCCTGGCTGAATGCAGTGCTCTGAACTGACTTTGCACAGGGGGAAGTCTTCGCACAGCCCAGCAGAAACTCTGTGGCTTAGGACAGGAGCAGCCAACTTGCAGCACGTGCACGCCAAGCAGCACCATCAGTGTGTGACACGCTGCAGATGGGGAAGGGACAGGCAGCACAGGGGCAGGTAGGTCAGGGAGCAGAAAACACAGCAGCAGATCAGATAGGGAGCACATGGCAAGGAGCAGAGAGCAGATCAGGCATGGGGAAGGGATCAGAGTGGCAGGTGGGGAGGGGGCAGGGCTAATTTGTGGTGCACCTGCCAAAATGCTTGCCCCTCACTTGGCTAGGGCACACTCTTAGGAAATGGAAGACGTGCATTCAAATCCCCCCTGGGTGGCAGGGGAAGCTGAGAAACCAGGTCTCTGACTTCTTGGCCAAGGACATTTCCTCCTGTTCCCTCAGGAACAAAGCAATCTGTGCTTTGTACTGCAAGCAATGCTGCTGTCAGTTCAAATCCTGGCTCAGGTGGGTGCTTCCTCTCAGCAAGGTCTGGGTCCTGCCTTAAGAGAAGTCCCACAAGCCAGCACCTAAGCGCTGAAGGAGCAGGAATTCATGGAACGAATATGGCTTTCTCTACAGTAGTTTCTGTAAAGCCTCACTAGTTATAGCCCTGTTAGGATGGGACTTTTCCATGAGGATTTTGATCCATCCACTATTGCAGGTTTCATGGGGAAGGTCTTGTCTCTCTCTCATTTCTAACAGACGAGGTTGAATCTATCTACCAAGCAGAAATTGTGGCCATCTGCAGCTGACACTCCCGTGCACTCTCTACCTCTGATGCTATGTAGTTCTTATTCTTGACCTACCTTTCTCTCTTTGTAAATTAGCTCTATTTTTTATTGCCTTTTCCTTTCGAGTGCTTCATGCCTTTGACACACAATTAGTCTCTGCCTATTCTTTTGCAAAGAGGGCAAGTGATTGCGACATGGGTGAACCTAAGATACATTCAGTTCCAAACATAATGAAGTTGTGCGCATTACAAACTGCTTGCATAATTTGCTTTGTCTAGGTCTGTATAACCCCTTATTGTCCAGGAAGACTATAATGAGCACATGAATGCAATCACTGGCTCCTATTATAGAGGCAAATACAGATAATGCAAGGAAAAGTCTTCCCCTTACCTTTTATTCTACATGGGTAGAGAACAGACTATATGATTAAGTATGAAACTGCGTGCAGTATGAAGCTAGGGGAAGAAACAGTATCTGTGGTACTTTAAATAGAAAAAAAGCTCTTAGGAAACCTTGTACTGTCCTTGCAGGCTTCCCAAATCAGATCATTAAAAAAAAAGCAAGGAAGCAAATTGAAAAGATCTTGACTTAGCCAGAACCACTGAATACATTAAGTTAACTAGCAGCCATCTACCTCGTAGTGCCAGTAAAGTTAGGAAAACTGAACATTGCGTGACCTGAACTTATGCTACTCTTTAACTCCTTTGTTGCTTGTTCAGTGGTCCTAACCTGCCATATTATCTGAAGTGAAATATTTAGCGTGTTTTGTCCATCTGCTACTCTAGTAGCCTAATCTAAATCTAGCTATCCTCAATCTTGCTGTGGAAACAAGGTTGGACTTGAGGTAAGCATGGGAAGTTGTACCCATACCAGCATAACTAAATGTTGAGGTCTAGATCGGTACTATCTACATTGTACAAATGATCACCTAGAGGGGATAGCAAATATATGGGAGATGACATTCTTCTGAAGTCTTTATTATCACCTGGGTCTGTTAGTGCAGCGGGCTCAAAACCGGCAATGTTTTCATAAAGAACTTGTAAGCTTTGCAAAGTCACATTCATTCTGCAGGTTTCATGTCTTGTTTGGGGTTTTTTTGCAGTATTTTTATTCCCCTCCTTCCTTTCTTTTTTTCTGTTTTGCCACAGGGAAAACTGGTTGGGAAGGAAAAGTGGGGAAACAAGTTTTTTACAGGGGTTTTTTTAGTTGTTGGAAAAGCTAGAAGATGAAAATTTCCAAGAAAGACCATTTTTCCCCCACTTGAAAACGGGCAGCCAGCTCTGTTTGTTACTTAGGACAGTGTCTTAATTTTGGGATCTCAACTCTATGGAAAGCAGGGGGAAGACAGAGTGTAGACCAACTGCAGTATGAATCCAACCAACAGGTGCATGATGTCCTGTCCATGGCAAGGGGTTCATGCAAGACTAATAATTGCATATTAAATATCAAAACCACATGCCTATAGAGGCAAATATCTTGTACAACATTGAGTTTCACACTGGGAAATTTTTATTTAATAAAACCCTAACACTCACTACATCACTTTTATAGTAGGACAAGTTTTTCTAGTAGCTTAGTCTTTCCAAGTGATTCTGAAAACAAAGATTAATTGTACTGCTGACGTAGCTAAGGGCCTTTGTAAGAAAAGGCAAAACAAATACACAATAATTCACAAAATCAACCTTTACAGCTTTGATCCCAAATATACAGACAGGCAGAATAAAATAGACGTGTTCCTAATCTAACAGCAAACACAATGCTTGAAAGTGCAAAGTACCACATGGAAATTCGGGCTGCTCTCATCCTTCCTCACCTTTCAGAACAAACACTGACCTTTAGACTAACCCAGTCATCTGTGAAATCTAAAAGTCATATAAAGGATGTTCGGTGGAGATGTACTTCAGCATATCAGAGCAGCTACTGGCTGTGGGGTGGATGCAGCTTTCTTTGAAACTTTATAGTGAAACCAACCAAACTCCAAACTTCTGTGCATTTGTCCCGGAAAAGTTCACCGTGCAAAAACCTCTAAGTAAGCAACCTCGCTCAGTGAAAAAATCTTAATCGCAGCATTTATCTATGTCTTCTTAAAATTCAGTAAAATGAACATCGTTACGTGTTTTTGAAACTAGACATTCATCACTTCTCTCCACGTTGTCACCTTCTGCTTTCCAACTGCTGGCTCTAGTCCACTGAGAGTCAAATGCATCGGGAACCAACCCTGCATTTTGCATGCAGGCAGGACTCACACTGGAAAAACAGGAGTTTTACCAGTATCTCTGCCAGAAACTCTGCGCGAGGTGGGATCGCGTGACCTATGATGATGGTGATAACCGGGACCAACGTGATGTTAATTGTGACAGTTCTTATCTACATTAAAGGCGTCTTGTGTTGCACAACAGTGTAGCTGCCATGAAGTTAATGATGTACCAAGGATTTAAACCAGCTGGGATTCTGCCCCAGAAGGCTAATTAGCATGTGTTTTTAATGCAGGGGTGGCCAGCCTCGGGCTTGTGTGCCACAGGTGGTACAGAAAGCCGATGTGCCTGGCATAAGGCAGACTGGGGAGTGGACTGGACAGGCACAGGCAGCGCAGTGACATATAGGGTGAAGAGCAGAAAAAATAACAGCAGATTGGGCAGAGTACAGGGCAGGGAGCAGAAAGCAGAGTAGGGGATCAGACAGGGGAAGGGTATGGCACTTGGAGAGCGCTAACACCTGGCCGCCCTGTTTTAAATGCACTTCTATTTCCCAGTACAGCGGTCTAGATAGAGGGACTACAGGTAGACTGGACAAACTCTGGGTTATACCATGAAGCTTCGCTGTTCAGCTCAAACTGTCGACAAGTTTGTATTGTGGGCAGGACAGCGCCAGGCAGAGAGACGGTGGGGAGGATCAGCTGGGTGAAAAACTGAAACAGAGATGGAAGGAGAAGCGAGGAGGGAAACCGGCCATGAAAAAGCGCAGTACAGATAAGGTACTCACTTGGGGGAATCTCCCCCTAATCAAGGGAGCTGTCTCAGACATGGCTTTTAAACACTTACATCTCCCTTGAAGGCAGGACAGCCACCTGCACTTGAGTCACTAGGGAGAGAAAGTTCACAAAACTAAACCACCTGTGGATTCCCGGTCCTAGTTTGACCATTTTCAGACCTTCAAGGGGTCCTCCCGGCCTTGGATCTAGTGAAATCTTACTCTTCGGCCTTGGCCCAACCTCATGCTCAGCCCCCGGACACGGGACTGACAAGGAGAGCACCTTGTTCTCGCCTCCTGGAGGAGACATTTCAGTTAAACTGGAATTCACACGGGTTTGTTCCCCTTTCTCTGGCTGTCTGGTAAATGGAAATGAAGTCTTTAAACCTCGGGGCACAGCCCAGCCACGCTTCACCAAAATGTTCGCTGCCAGTGAAAAGAAACTCTCCGGCCCCCTGCTTCACCCTGCACTGCAGCAGGGTTTTTATGGGGCCCCTCCATTCACCGGT